AGAACAGCAGGAGGACGGCTAACAAGAGAGCAGCTTGCTCACAGCAACCACCAGCCCTCCCAGCGCCGGCCTGTGCCCGACTAAACACTGTGCAGGTGCACTGAGAAGCTAAAGTGACTGGATGTAAACTTTAGACGTCACAGACTAAAAACCCACCACATGCAACACATAGGACCCACCCCCCCTGAATTTGCACACGCTCCCCTCCCCATCTTATTCTCACAATGTGCTTTGGAAAAACCCTTAGAACTGCACGTAGGCAAGGTAATCTGTGACCAGGAGAAAGAATAACTTGTTAGCAGACAATTTACGTCCTCTGCCCAAAACAGTTCTTTCTGTCCCAGATAAGGAAGTAACTGATGCGGGGCCAGCCCCGTGGCTTAGCGGTTAAGTGCGCGCACTCTGCTACTGGCGGTCCAGGTTCGGATCCCGGGCACGCACTGACGCACCGCTTGTCCGGCCATGCTGGGGCAGTGTCCCACATACAGCAACTACAGGGATGTGCAACTATGACATACAACTATCTACTGCGGCTTTGGGGAGAAAAAGGGGGAAAAAAAAGGAGGAGGACTGGCAATAGATGTTAGCTCAGGGCCAGTCTTCCTCAGCAAAAAGAGGAGGATTGGCATGGATGTTAGCTCAGGGCTGATCTTCCTCACAAAATAAAAAAAAAGGAAGTAACTAACGTTCTCTTAGATTCCTCAGGAATGTCACATTCAGCATATCTGAAACTTTTTGTCTACGGAAAGGTGCCCAATGGTCTGTGGTCATCTATCGCCTGACTTTCCTGAGCCCCCTCCCCAACCCTACTTGCCTTATATAAGTCATTTCCAAATCAGTCCCCTTTAAGATGGTTTTTCTGGATGATAGTCCACCATCTTCCAATCAGCTAGCTCATCGCTTAATAAAGTTCTTTCTCTACTACTGCCTGCTTGGCCTTTTATCTTGAGACAAGCAGATCAGGCCCTTGCTCAGTGACAACAGAGTGGCTAGCTGGGTATCCAGGGCCCTGGGCTCTGAGCTGCTTTCTTTCACGGGAAACAGGCCAGGGCCTTGGCATGAAGTCCAGGGATGTCCTCAAGGCAGTGGACCTTGGATTCGAGTCCCAAAGGTCCGCTCCTCAGTCCTGTGACTGTGCCCCTCCTCAAAGTCAGAGGTGACAGTGGCACCTGCCCCCGGAGCAGCAGCGCAGGTTAAGGAGGTCTGTCTGCTCCCGTTAGTGTTATCCCCATGGTGAAAGGGATCAGATAGCCTGGCCAAATGGGGACGTCATCTGACCTCCCTGTGTTTGTCACCTATGAAAAGGGGACAGTGACTTCTGTCCCGTGGAGGTGTGCGAGGGCCATAGTAAACAATGCATGGGGAGGTGCTAACACAGGGACTCCTGGGCTGGAATTTGAACCCAGACCAGCCTGACCTCAGAGAGCACACCCTCTCCACTCTGGGAGACGTGTCCCAAAAATAATCGAGTAAATTCTTTTGAACTGGGAAGGCTGCTATTGCTGCCTGCTACAATTTGTAAGCCCACCTCTCTCTGGATGAAGCCATAGTTTGTCGTTTGGTCCCAAGACAGAAATGGCTGGATACAAAGAGACAGAGAACTGCAGAGGTTCCTGATTCCCTGCCACTGAAATGTAGACGCAGATCTGCACGTCACCCTCTCATCAAACAGTCCTGAACAATAAACCCAGTATCACTCTCAAGGCGAATGGGGCTAATGTCAGGGACTCACCAGGGGCTGGCAGGCATTCCAGCTGAGCTCCACTCACAGTCTCACACGCCTGACTGGAGACAGAGAAACTCACTCCCCATGGAGACTGAGTCAGAAGGGACGTGACAGGGAGGTGCAGGGGATGGGCTGGAGGAGCCACTCCAGGCCCGAATTCTTGCTGGGCTCCCAGCCCTGCAGGGCTGATGGCCACAGTCAGGAGCGGAGGGATCAGCGGTCACTGCAGAGTTTCTCAAGGTGACCCAGGAACAGAGCCAGGATAGCTGCACGTGGCCGTGGGGCTGTGGCCTCCTCCTGCCAACATGCACCTAGGGTCGGAGCTGCAGGGGCCTGGGAGACGTGCCACTAGCTGTCCAGCTCCTCAGGACAGGGTGAAAACAGACACTGAGCTGTTGGAAGCCCCACACCGACAGGCACGTCCAGAGGGCCGAGCAGGGGCTTTGTGGGGGCCTCTCATTGTCTCTCGGGCTGACAGGCACCTGCCTTAGGAGAGGACCCTCCACTGTGGCCCGTCATGCTTAAGAACAAAGGATCCTCCTGCGACAGGGAGGGTTCCTTGAGGCTGGCGCAGGCTGTTTGTTTCCCGAGTCCCCAGATGGTGTCAGGATCAAGCACCCGTGTGCTTTGCATGCAGTACATGGGCCAGGTGTTTGAGAACAAGGCAGACACTGGAATAGGGAGGCTGAAGGTGAAGGACGTTGACACCATGGCTCCCCGGCATGGAAGGCAGTATTCTCCATGCTGAATGACAGAGCCGGCTGCTTTGCTGTCACCATGGACCCCAAGAACAACAGCCTTTGAAAATGGCGAGAGACAGGCTGTGTTGGTCATCCACTTGCCTCCCACTGGAGGCCATGATCAATTGGTGCTGTCTGCCCAGGACAGGACAGGAGTGGGCAGTACACTCCTCACACCAGGGTGACAGCTTTCTAGTGAGGGCTTTCTGCTGCGATGATGGTCCTCCCTGGTCCTTGTGTCAAAATGGCCACACCAGCACCCTGGACCCCAGGGGAAGTGCTGCCTAATTAACAGTCGTCTCCCAGAAAAATACTAACCTGGGATGTTCCCCCAAAAGCAGACCCCGAGACAAGAATTTGTGGGAGGGGCCCCTGGAAGTGCTGGTGAGGGAGTTGGGTGGTGGGACAGGAAGGGGGAGCTCGGGTGCCTCAAGAGCAAAGGGGCTCAGGCCCCCAGGGACCCTCCGAGAGACACGTAGGAACTGTCTCTTCTAAGGCATTTGTCCACTTTCCTTTGTGGTTGTGGCTGCTGCTTCACCCTTGAAGGCAAGAAGCCTTGGCCCCAGAGCCACAGTGGTCTCCAGAGTGGGCAGAGGGGCCTGGGACCACCTGCTTCAAACGGGAAAGGGGAGAATCCCTTCTTCACTCCCTCAGAACTGACCAATGACGAACAATCAAAAAGAGAGAGAAAAACAAGACAGAGAGGGAGGGAGTCAGGTTCCTGGGGGAAGAGGACAGTCTCAGGAACAAAGCAGGCTGCATGTGGGTGAGGTCCTGAAGACCCCACCCCAGGACCCCCCAGATCTGCTCCGCTAGGCTCAGGAGGGGAGGTAGGAGAGGGAGCAGGCACTTACTGCTCTTTGCTCCAAATGTGATCTTTTGGCCCCAGAATACTGGTAGCACTTGGAAAATGTGGAGAAGGCCAAGGTGGCATGCAGAGCAGCCTGGGGGACAGAGGGGCTAAAAGTCCAGAATTCCACCGAGGGCACGGCCCAGAACATTTACCTATCGACCTGCGTCAAACCAGACAATGTGCCAGGGGGCGAACTAAACCCCTGAGAATTACCGAACCTCCTGCCAGGGCAGGGGCTGAGCCAAAGGATCCCAGTCCCAGCTGACTCCTGGCCCAGCCTCCCAGGGACCCTTTCAGATAATTCTGCTCAGTGCCCAGCACTGCCTCACAGGTCTGTCTGGAGAATTGAGAGCAACAATCAAATGGAGAGCTAACATACAGTCTCGCTAAGTGCCCGGCTGTTTATGTCCCAACACATTTAGTTCTCACACCAACTCTACCAGGGAAGTGCTGCCTTTATGTCCACTTGATGGTGGGGAAACTGAGGCACAAAGAAGCACAGTCAATGCTCAGTAAGTGGCAGAGCCAAGATCTGAACCAGGGTCCAATTCTTAACTGCTGCATGAAGTATCAAATATTTAAAAACCAGCCAGTGTAGAGCACAGAATTCTGCATATGGTTTCAGACTGCTATCAGTTTTTCATGCATTGTGCTAGAAAACATTCCAATACACGGCCTCCCTGTGCCTCAGTTTCCTCCTCTGTAAAATGTGGATAATAATACCTGCTTTATGCAGGTATTAATAATACACACTGCTTTATGCCTTGTCCCTAGCTGCTATTCTGGGAGACCGTTCGTCTTACACACCAGTGGGCCCCATTCTTTTTAATGGGCTGCAAAGCATGCTGGTGTCTGACAAAGCTCATTTAATTGTCCCCATTGGGGACAGTCTGGTTGTTTCTGGTCTCTTCTACCCCTGGGCGTTTGCCAAAACAAGTGTGAGCATTTCTTTGGGGTCATCTTCTATAAACAAGCCCTGCCAAACGTCACGTGCATTTAAATCTGAAATAGATATTTCCTGATTACCTCCAAAGTGATTCACCAGCACACACCCAACCTTTGCTAGGAGGGGCTTTCTCTGCCTTGGAGGGGCCTGATTCTTTACCTTCAAATAGTCCACGCGTACTATGGAATAATTAGAAAATGCACTTTGGCAAGAAAAAAAAAGTTCCCATATCCAGAGCAACACTACCAGTGAACCAACATCATGGTGTAGACCTTTCCAGATTTTTAATATAGAATGCCCTTATTTTTATTGATAGATCATATAAAATGTGTTCTATATGTATGTTATATAATTTTAATACAATGATGGATTTGCACCTGTACGCTCCACTGTCACTTGTCACTTTTTTATTTCTGAATAGCCCCGTCCCTGTGCGGAGCCCTCTAATCCTTGGGGCTGGGTGGCCAGAGGTAGGTAAGACGAGGGGCCAGCAAGGTTAGCGACAAGTCAGAGAGCTTTGCTTCATCCCACGGAACCATCTCAGCCTTGGGAGTCATTACTGCGCCTATTTTACAGATGAGGAAACTGAGGCACATCACGTGACCCATTGGGGCAGTCAGAATCGGAAACCTTACCTGTCCATCAAAATCCTGACTGTCCCAACGAAGAAAAAAACTGCATTACTTCTGGGACTCCTCGGGCGACTCCGGCTCGAGTGCACCCCCCACCTCCCAGCTCTTCGCCGGCAGCAGGAGCTGATCTCCGCGGGACCCACCGCCCCGCCCCGCGCCCGCCCCCGCCCCCGTGAGACCCACCGCCCCCGAGTCCCGCCCCCCCGAGCCCGCCCCATCTCCACCCCTGCCCCACCCCCCGCAAGTCCCCTCGACTCCACTTCCGGTCCCGGGAGGAGCCGTCGCGGCCTCCGCAGGTATGTTCCCTCCGGTCCCCCACCCGAGCCCCAACCTGAGGGAAGCTCCCGGAGCCCTCGAGGTGGACACTGGGGTGGCACAGCCCCCGCGAGCGGGACGCCCGCCCCTCCCCCCTCCCGGGTGGGTTAGACACGTGGCCCCCAGGCCGGGGAGGTGCCAGGGTCAGGGCATGGGCCGGCCCCGGGAGGTGCCTGCTCCCGGGACCACCGCCCGTTCTTGCAGCGGCTCGCGTGGCGTGACCTCTGGCCACCTGGCGCAGTCCAGCCGGCCAGCCGTGAGCTCGAGGGCCGCCCCGCGGCTGCGGACGCTCCAGCGACACCTGGGCTCCCCGGAGGTAGAGGGCAGGCCTGGACGCTGGGTTCCTGTCCCCTCGTCCGCCTGGTGACCCATGAGCCAGGGATCAAAGAGCTGGTTTCCGGGAAAACAAGGAGACCCGGCCTGGCCACCCATGGCCAGCACTGACTGGCTGGAAGGAGGGGCTGCGGGGGGAGGCCTCTGTGCGGAGAGGCCCTTCCGTGGCCGGGTGCAGGGGAGGGGGCCCTAGTGGGGGCGGGAGGCCGGGCTAGTGGGGAGAATGGGGAACGCAGGTCCGCGTTGTTTGTGGACTGTCTGCAGTGTTAACACCGCAGCTTCCTGGGGCTGACTCAGCATTTCCAGCCCCTCTCCCCAGGCCCAGGGGCTGTTTGGGACTCTGTGCCCTGGGGCTGTTGGAAGGCTGTTGCCTCGCAGGGCTGGTGTGGACACAAGGCTGGGCCCCACACGCTGGTCCCTGCCCCTCTCTCATGGCCCAGGGCAGAGGCATGGAGCCTGTCAGCAGCCCACTGACTACACATGTGCTGGACACCGCCTCAGGGCTCCCAGCCCAGGGCCTCTGCCTCCGTCTGTCCAGGCTGGAGGACCATGGCCAGCAGTGGACCGAGCTCAGGAAAAGGTAGGAAGGAGATCTGGGGCAGGAGACGAGTCCAGACCACCTCCCCCCAGTGCAGGGCCCGTCTTGAGTCCCAGCCTGAGGAGTGCGAGCCCTGAAGGCTGATCCAGGGCTGACCGCTGCCGGATGGTCCCCCTCGGAGCCTCTGCTTCTTCAGGCTGCTCGGGACGGTCCAGAGAACGCGCGAGCCAGGGTGCGCAAGCCGGGGTCTCCGTCAGCAGCTGGGTTGGTTAAGGCCTGGGGTGAAATCTAAAAGGCCTCATTGTCACCCTGATTAAGGTAACCTTGTGTCAGCTGAGCACTTTCTGTTCTTTTCATTCTCACTAACCTGTGGGCAGGCACTGTAATTATCCTATTATAGATGGGGAGACTGAGGCAGCAAAAGGCAGGGTCACAGCTGGGATTCTGTACTGCTCAGGCTCGGGTTCTGCCGGGGAAGGGGGTGGGGGGACTCAGCCAAGGCTGGCTGCCTAGTGAGCAGGTTCCCCAAACCCTCCGTCTTGAAGGAGGCAGGCTTCCTCTGGTGGTGGGAGTAGGGGCCTGGGTCCCAAGGTTCAGGGCCTGAGGGTAAGAAGCCCGCCCCCTCCTTGTTCAGCCCTTCACAAAAGCTGGGGGTCCAGGTCCCACATGAGTGGTCACCCCTGGTTTTGGAAGAATGCATGGCGTCCGTGGGAGGTCATATAGACCCATTCCCAGCCCCCCATAAAGTGTGCCCATACGCGCTGCTCTTTCTAATCATGGTAGAGACACCTGAAAGCAGAGCTGGTGGGAACAGCATGAGGTTTTTCCGGAGGTGATGGGGGCCCTCAGAGCCCTCCAATCGGATGCTCAGTGCAGCTGGAAACAGGCTGCCATGCGGATGGGGATTTGGGTAGTTACTGATACAGAGAGCCACGCACAATATATTAAATGAAAAATGCACATTATAAAACAGTATGAAAAGCATAATCCATTTTATTTCTTTTATGTTTGTAAATAAGTATACTTATGCAGAGAGAAAACCTGGAAAAATATATGCCAAATATGAAGTGATTATTGCTCATGGGATAGATCGTGGGAGAGTTTTTTCCCCTTTCTGCTTCTCTGTACTGTGATTTCCTAAAAGACAGTGCAGCCGTGTCCCTAGGCTGCTCCAGAACCAGGCTCTAGAATCTGTCCCGCTGCAGCTGTCCTGGCCCTACTCATCCAGGTTGGAGTCAGGCTGTAGGGGTGTCTGAGGTTGCGGGCCTGCAGACCCAGAAGAGCTGGGGGTGGCGGGGACACGGCTCCTCATCCCCCTGTGCATCCCCCCTCCCCCTCACCAGCTACACGGACCCTGACGGCCGCTGCCCTGGGCTCCTGCCACCAGGCCAGATGAAGGCAGGCACCTACAAGCTGTCCTTCAACACGGAGGGTTACTGGAAGAAGAGGGGACAGGAGAGCTTCTATCCATACGTGGAGGTGAGGGCCAGGGGCGGGCTGGAGGGGGGAGGTCCTGCAGTGGGCAGGCTGGTTCCACCCCTCAGCCTCTCCCAAGGATGTGGCAGGCGGTGAGGTCGCCTGCTTTGAGCTCCCAGAGAACAAGTGTCAGGACTTTCCCACAACAGTCCATCCCTGCGCTGCCCCTCGGTCAGGTGTGGGGGGCAAGGCCGAGGGTGACTCAGGCCCTGTGGACAGAAGTGTTCACCTGAGCCCCGTCCAGCTCACTGGGCCTGACCTTACTGCCTCCCCCTCCACCTGACCCTGTTCAGGGTGGACCCCTTGGGAACCTGCAGGCCCAAGGGTCCCTCAAGCCAAGCGCTTTCTCCAGGGAGGATTCAGCTCCATCCACATCCCTCACCACGTTAGGGCTCCAGCTGGCCCAGGGGCTCCTGGCCCCCTCGACTTTAGCCCCCGGCCCACAGCCTGGACTGCTGAGTCCTCCCCAGGACCATTGGGGCCAGGCTGCTCGTGTGCTGCATGTGGGCCCCTCGCTCTCTTCCGGTTCCTTCTTTGCTTCTCTCAGGTCGTTTTCACCATCACAGACGAGACCCACAAGTTCCACGTACCCCTGCTGCTGAGCCCGTGGTCCTACACCACGTACCGAGGGAGCTAGTGGCCAAGCCACTGTTGCTCTGGCTGACTGCCAGCTGGCCTACGAGCACCAATCCCATCACCACAGCCACCAAGCCACCCCCAGCCCTCAGCAGACTGGGCTCCATGTTCCTCTGGGGGCGTCTGGCCCCCAGTCTCCCAGTGGCAGCTGTGACTCAGACATCAATAAAGTCGGTGCTGGCATCTGCAGGGCTGCTGCAGTCACTAGATAGCTTGGCTGGGGCCGCCCAGCCCTGAGGTGGGAGGAGGAGGGCGGGCATGCACGCAGGCTGGACCCACAGCAGGGAAGGAAGCAGACGGGACCAGGGGCCCTGTAGTGGGCCCCACATAGCCACGCAACAGGACACAGCCAATGTGAAGAACCTTCATTTGCTGACGACACAAATCTAAAAAACAAACACCTACTGTCCTCGGTGTGTGAAAGAGGGTATCCTCCAGTCCCAGGCGGGGACTATGTTGGGGTGCCCACGAGTCCCGCGGGGCCCTGGCCCAGCGTCTGCCCAATCACAGCCGTCTCCAGGGGCTTGAAGCCCACGTTGTCCAGGGGGATCCCGAAGGCCAGGAGCTTCGCCTCGTAGGTGCGCAGCAGGTCGTTGTGGGCCTGTGGGGACAAGAGCGTCAGGGGAGGGGGGCAGCGGTCACAGCACCGAGCAGACCCTCACTTGGGCCCACCCAGCTCCGTGGAGGGGTGGGAGGGTGGTGGTGCAAAACCATAAAGCTAACCTTTACCAGGGGGCCTGGCCTGACTCAGAGCAAAAGTATCGTCAAGATGGGCCGGCCCCGTGGCTTAGCGGTTAAGTGCGTGCGCTCCGCTGCTGGCGGCCCGGGTTCCGATCCCGGGCGCGCACCGACGCACTGCTTCTCCGGCCATGCTGAGGCCGCGTCCCACATACAGCAACTAGAAGGATGTGCAACTATGACATACAACTATCTACTGGGG